GGGGTTATAGGTTTGGTATCTTTGCTTTTACAACAAATTATAGGGAGGGACTTTATGACCGTTGTGTCAAGGTGAAGACAGGACCATACTACGTTCCATGAAAAGTTGACTTGCCAACAACTTCTTTAACTCAAAATCAGTTTTAAGTCTTGTCTAAATGTCTACAATGCCAGTATTAGTAAATAGAAGTAGTTCTAATAGCATGTCCAATCATAATTTTAAACCTCTAGTGTCACTTTAGTGAATCGATAGAGACTGACAAATCTTGTTAATGATAACTTTTATTATTCTTTCTTTCAATCGAACAATTCGTGATCTTTTATAGATGTCAAAAAAAAAAAAAGATTAGTGATCTTTTATACGTAAAATGAAGGGTTAATTTGTGTAATAGCCATTTTTTTGAGCAAAATCAAAAATATAATATTGATTTTAACATAATTTGATCTCCTAGCATTTTTCTCTTTTTCTTCCAGTTTTCTCTTTTTCCAAAACCGGTTGACAGTGATATTCTGTCACTTAATTGAAAAAACGTTGTTAAAATAATGGTGGCTATAGCATCCACAAAGTGATAGTATTATATAAATAGAATATAACATTCTTATTAATAAAATTATAAAATAGTTTAATGAACATTCAAACCTTCTATAATTAAATTTAAAATAATAATCACTAAATCCTTAAAAAGTATATAAACCTTAATCCAAATATAAAAATATGCAAATAGTATATAATATAGCTTATTATTATAAAATAATAATAAATAAATAGTATAGTATATATAGTTTAAATTTTAAAATGACTATGATTGAGGTAATGCTTACCTCAATGTCAATCCAAATCTTCCATAAACTAATCTCCAAACATTAATCACTAAACCCTAACAAGAAATTTAAACCCTACTCCAAATATCAAAATATGTACATAGTACATAATATGGAACATTATCAAAATACAATAGTAGCAAACGAAATAGAATAGTATATATTGTTCAAGTTTTAAAATGTCTGATTGCTGAAAATGAGATAATGTTTACTTAACATCAACCTAAACCTTCCATAGACTAAACCCAAAACACTGATCACTAAATCTTGGATAGAAATATAAACCCTAATCTAAATATCAAAATATACCTATCCTATATAATACGAATCATTATTATAAAATAGAATAATAACAATGAAATAGCATAATACATTTTCTTCAAATAACATAGTATAGTTTGAAATTTACAGTACATACGAATGGTGGTGGTTACGGCGGAAGAAGTGGTGACTGATATAAAGAAGATGGTGATTGTTTTGAAGGATGTGAAGGTAAAAATATGAAAAAAAAAAAGATTATGGATTTGGTAATAGGTAAAAGAAATGTTGATGTTAGTTACGTTGATAGATAGAGACCAAAATGTTTGAAATTGTTTTTTACAGGAAGTGATAGTGGATTGAAATAAATAGTAATGGTGATAGGTAACTGAAGAAGAAGTGTATACACTTATTTTATAATAATAATGATGGATGTTTTTTTTAGCTAGATACCTAATTATATTTCATTTCATGGCACTACTTATCCTAATTTCCCTAAAATAAATGAAATCCATCAAATACAAAACTGAACCCATGTTTTTTTTTTTTGGAACTCAACTGAACCCATTTTTAAAATCCCACATACTAGAGAAGACAAAAATCCAATACGCAAGAAAATCAAAAGCAATTAAAAAGGTGAATTAGCTGAATAACGATCAATCCATACTATTATCTGATTTTTATTTTGCATTTCAAGCTTGTACGGTATTTTAACTCAAGCTAATCGATCTGGAAAATATGATAATGATAGTGAAGAAGACTTATTTAGACGATGAGAATTATTGTCATGTTTTCATTAGAGATATTAAAAGTACGTCTGATATTGTAGAACGAGAACACCTAATTTATCTTAATTTGAAACAAGTCCAGTTGGTGATGGCTAATGTGGCATCTGCGCAATGTTTATGCTTGCCTGTTGAAATACCAATAGTTTATCTTTATCTTTTTTTCATTCTTCGACGATGTAATACGTTATAAATCAGATTTAATAAAATAAAGCGTTAAAAAAAAGCTGAAGAACAATAACGAAGACAAAATTTTAACAAAATAGTCATGTAAAGATCTAGGTGAAGGATATATTTTGTCACAAAACTAGACGATATACAGCAGAACCTCTATTTTATAGTATTCGATAAATTAATAATCTCTATAAATTAATAAATTTCGCTGCTCTTAACTTGGATCGGTTCAAAATTTGACATAATCGATAAAATAATAAGATAATATTTTTTAAGATTTTTTTTTGTAAATATATAGTCCCATTTAAAGGTGTCAAAATGGATAAACAAACCATATCGAAATGGTCATATGGGTTATGGGTTAACTCAACCTCTTTGACAAATAGTTTGGGTTTAACCCATAACTCATTTAAGTTAATGAATTAATGATTTAATGGTTTGTCCACAATGATAATAATATAGTTTAAATGATTATTAATTAAAATATTATTTGGGGACTAAAAATAAAAAATATTATTTAGGCTTTGGAAAAGTATGATGGGAATTGCACGATTTTATAGTTTTGGTGGAAAAACAATATTTATGATTTTTGGTGAAAAATGATTTCGTAATTTTGACGGGAAAACTTAACTTTACAGTTTTGGTAGAAAATAGGATTTCACAATTTTGTAAAAAACTCAATTTTACAGTTTTGGTTGGAAAAGTTGATTTTGGGATTTTGACGGAATATTTAATTTCATAGTTTAGGCATAAAAATTCAATTTCACGGTTTTATTGGAAAAAATATGATTTTACAATTTCGACGGAAAAAATCGATTTTATGGTTTTGACTGAAAAACATGATTTGAGATTTTGACGAATAATATAATTGCAAATGTTGTATATTGTCTTCAACTTTTATAGCCAACTATTTTTTTTTCAAGTCGGTGGTATACCTTCGGGTGCGTCTTTAACTAACTGGACCGAATTCAATTTACTTAATGGGTCTTGTTCATTGAGGTTGTCTAACTCCAACAGTAATTAACAATGCCAACAAAAACTTATTGGCTTTGTTCGTTGTCCGTAAAGTTCATAATATATAGGAAACTCATAAATATATTTTCAATACCATCAATTGTAAAATGAACAAAACCACTGGTTCCAATAACAAATTCGATGATGTGTTGCTAACATTTCCACTGTAAAATCCTGGACTAAGAGTTTTTCAAGGTAGCTAGAGTTTTACTATAACCTCCTAAGAAACCATCTGCACAGTAGGGAAAGATTTGAAGAGAAAGAAAAGAGATACACACGCATAAAGGATCACCTGAAGAGTCACATTCTCTCATCATTCCTTGTTCCTTAATCTATTTACATTAAACTACATCTGCAAAGGCAAGCAATTAGAACAACAAAAACAGAGTGAAGCCAATCAAGACAAAGCCACTTCCTGCAATCGTTGAAGTTCGAAACTGCAACGCAAGTCAAAATTAAGTTCACTTTTGCGATTTTAAAATTGCATGTAAAGAAAAAGGTCCACAAAATAGAGAGTACTACATAGCTAGAAAAACAAAACAAAACCTATCACCACCAAACACTAAAATTGAGACGTCATCAAGGCAAATATAATTCTAAAAGAAGCCGTTTAGTCAACTTCTTCAACCTTGGGACCAGCACCTCCGGAAGCAGGAGGAGCACCATCATCAGCAGCACCACCAGTTCCTTGGTACATCTTGGCAATGATCGGATTGCATACACTCTCCAACTCTTTCATCTTATCTTCAAACTCTTCTACTTCGGCCAATTGGTTCCCATCAAGCCATTGGATTGCCTCCTCAACCGAATCTTCAATCTTCTTCTTGTCTGCAGCAGAAAGCTTCTCACTAACCTTGTCATCACGGATTGTGTTTCTCATGTTGTAAGCATAGTTCTCAAGAGCATTCTTGGCCTCGACCTTCTTCTTATGCTCTTCATCTTCAGACTTGTACTTCTCAGCTTCTTGCACCATCTTCTCAATCTCATCCTTAGACAAGCGACCCTTGTCGTTGGTGATAGTGATCTTGTTCTTCTTGCCAGTGGTCTTGTCCTCGGCAGAGACATTGAGGATGCCGTTTGCATCAATGTCAAAACACACCGTGATCTGAGGGACACCACGTGGAGCAGGAGGGATACCAGAGAGCTCAAACTTTCCAAGGAGGTTGTTGTCGTTGGTTCTAGCTCTCTCACCTTCGTAGACTTGGATCAACACACCAGGCTGGTTGTCTAAGTTAGTGGAGAAGACCTGTTCCTTCTTTGTAGGGATTGTTGTGTTTCTTTGGATCAATGTGGTCATGACTCCACCGACAGTTTCAATACCGAGAGAGAGAGGAGTCACATCCAAGAGAAGAAGGTCTTGCACCTTCTCATTCCCTTGGCCGCTTAGAATAGCACCCTGAACCGCAGCACCATAAGCCACAGCCTCGTCAGGGTTAATGGACTTGCAGAGCTCTTTACCATTGAAAAAATCTTGGAGAAGCTGTTGAACTTTGGGGATACGTGTAGAACCACCAACAAGGACGACATCGTGAACTCTGCTCTTGTCCATCTTAGCATCACGGAGACACTTCTCCACAGGCTCCATACAGTTTCTGAAAAGATCCATGTTGAGTTCTTCAAACCTCGCACGGGTGAGAGAAGAATAAAAATCAATCCCCTCAAAGAGAGAGTCAATCTCGATGTTGGTTTGAGCTGTGGAAGAGAGAGTCCTCTTAGCTCTCTCACAGGCCGTCCTCAACCTCCTCAAAGCTCTAGGGTTACCGCTAATATCCTTCTTACTCTTCCTCTTAAATTCTTGAACAAAGTGGTTAACCATTCGGTTGTCAAAATCTTCACCACCAAGATGAGTGTCTCCAGCAGTAGCCTTAACTTCAAAGATACCTTCTTCAATGGTGAGAAGAGAGACATCAAAAGTACCACCACCAAGATCAAAGATCAAGACGTTCTTCTCACCAACACTGGTGGCCTTCTTGTCAAGACCATAAGCAATTGCTGCAGCAGTGGGCTCGTTGATGATACGCATCACATTCAAACCAGCGATGACACCAGCGTCCTTTGTGGCTTGACGCTGAGAGTCGTTGAAGTAAGCAGGAACAGTGACGACAGCGTTCTTGATAGTAACGCCAAGGTAAGCTTCAGCGATCTCACGCATCTTGATAAGAACCATAGAAGAAATCTCCTCGGCGGCGAACTGCTTCTCTTCTCCTTTGTAGTTGACGAGGATCATGGGTTTGTCGGCAGGACCAGAGATGATCTTGAAAGGCCATAACTTCATGTCGCTTTTGACAGATGAGTCACTGAATCTCCGACCAATCAATCTCTTTGCATCTGTCACAATTCGAAAAAAAAAACAGATTTAATTCACACAATCAATCTATAAACCCTAAGAAACGATCACTTAAGAATTGAAATCATCAGAACTAACGCGCATAACCATCATCCTATAAACCCTAAGAAACGATCACTTAGAATTGAAATCATCAGAACTAACGCGCATGACCATCATCCTATAAATCCTAAGACAAGTGTGCCACTATATAAAAAAAAAAAAAACTTTTCTCAAAAACTATACAAAAACCCTAAAATTCACACATTCAATCTATAAACCCTAAAAAACACAACCAAACACTTATACTGAAATCATCAGAGCTAACGCATAACCATCATCCTATAAATCCTAAGACAAGTGTGCAACTATATAAACCCTAAAATTCACAAACCAAGTATCGCATGAGATGATGAGATTACGTACCGAAGACGGTGTTAATGGGGTTCATGGCGACCTGGTTCTTGGCGGCATCACCAACCAACCTCTCGGAGTCTGTGAAGGCCACGTAAGAAGGCGTCGTTCTGTTACCTTGATCATTAGCGATGATCTCAACACGGTCGTGTTGCCAGACTCCGACGCAAGAGTAGGTCGTTCCGAGATCGATTCCGATGGCCGGACCTTCTCCTTTACCAGACATTATATCAGAAAGCTATGAAAGAGATGAAAAAAGCTTTGGGAGCGAATTAGGTTTGAGCTTATTGTGTTGAGAGAGAGAGCGTGAGGTTTCTTTATATACATAAGCACCAGTCTTTATGTTTCTAGAATGTTCGATGGTTTTCCAATTCTTAAAGAGAAAAGGGAAAAAACAAAAGTTATAAAAAAGGATAATTGCTCTTCAACGTTTCATACTATGGTAGAGCCGTATGTCTTTTTTTTTTTTTTTTTTTTGTCAACCGTCTTTCACTAAAGACTTCAGCCCAATAAACCTTTTTTCAAGAGTGAGTGCAAAGATATGATCATAACTAAGCTTAGCACGTAAACTTCAAAATATTATTACAAAGTTAACCTAACATGCATGTGTATCTAACAGATAAAATGCTGCGACATGGCAGGAATATGAAGCTCATGGAAAACAGCTGTCCCAATTCCATCGCCAGAGGTTCTTACCGCCGTCGAGTTCATCACCATGGAAAGAAAAACATATGCAATGATTTTGAAGCCACCATAACGGCTTTAACGTTGGGATGTTGTACTCCACTCTTCTGCTCTAACCGGAGAGTCAATAATCTAAGCGACCATGATTCACCGGAATTAGTCAAGCGGAAGGAAGTCTTAAGATAGTTGAATGTAGGACTGGACAAATAAACCGAACCGAAAAATCCAAACTGAATTTGAACGATAAAAATGAATCTGAATCGATCCGAACCCAACATTAGTACCAAATGGATCGTTTTATGGTGTTTCGAGTTATAAATATTATCTTACCTGAACCTACATGGATATTTGATGGAATTCGAACAGTTTAAAATCCCCAAAAAAAATTGTACCAAATATAATCTCAATTCCTAATATATATCCAAAATATTACAAAAAAATTATTCATCGTACTTTTTCATTTCTAAATTTTATATTAGTGCATATTCCACACTAAATTAAATAAAAGTATACCAATACTGTATATAAACTCTCAAAATCGTGTTTGTATATATAAATCGTCAAATTTGTTAGTCATCCATTAATTTATCAAAATGACGTCATTTTGGATAAATTTTCTAAAATTAGGAATTTAAATTTACTACATAAACTTGTGAAATCGTCCTTATATATATATATATGTTTCATAATGAACATACTATATAATATAACATTTTCTAGCAATTTAATTTTGGACTAACAAAATTCTCAATTGATTCTCAACTGTCATGTAAACTAAATTCTAATTACGTGACAAATCAGCAAGACATTTTTTAATTAATACAAACTACATATTATATTTTTTAATGTTTCTCTTTTAATATATAAAGGTAAGTAATATTATATGGCCATCTGTGAAGGCTGATAACATTATCAAATTGAAGTTGTTAACAAATTCTAATATAAATTATAAGCACAAGTGAAAGAACAAGATGTAAATCATTCAGGGGAGAAGTAAATAGCATGAAATACGTCGAGATCCCTGGCTAACTGTTTGTAAGATGTTTCCCACAGAGTGATAACCGGTTGATAGTAATCAGGATAAGAATACATACAATTGAACAACATCCCCGCGATCTCCTTACACTTAGTGCTACGAGGTCCTTCACATTGTTCCAGAGCGTTAACAACATCTTTGCAACCACCTCCTCTCATGAACTCGAAATACCTAGCTTCTATGGCTTCATCAGTTGATGATTCTTCCTCTCTCGATGGGAACAAGCCATGGATGTTCTTCATCAACAATTCTCCCTGCACTACAAGAAAACAGAGCGATACTGAGGGAATTTCCGAGGGAACATTGGTTCCTCGGAATATTCCGATGATATTCCGAGGAAATTCATAGGAAACACAATTTATGTGTTTCCTAGGAATTTTCTTGGAATATACCTAGAAAATTCCGAGGAACACACTTTCCCTCGGAATTTTCCGATGGAATTCCGAGGGACAAAAGTCCCTCGATATAAACCGAGGAAAATCCGATAAGAAATTATAGTCGTTAGTTAGCCGTTGTGGTATTTCAAAAATTCCGAGGAAATTACGACGGCAACGGCTAGTGCCTCGGAATTTCTTGGGAATTTCGTGGGAATTGTCGGCAGATTTCATCTATAAATACAAGCACCCCTCATCATCTTCATTCACTCCATATCTTCATCCTCTCTCATTCTATTTTGCACACACGAGTCTGATTGAAAAAAACATGTCTTTTTATAATTATTATCGCTCGTGGATCGATCGACCTCATATGGATCCGAACACGAGCGAGATTTCTTACGCCAGAATTCGAAAGTGGTCTAAAGGAATTCATGGGGAAAGCTCTCAACCAACCGGAAGCTGAAACGGGTATGTTAAGATGTCCTTGCTATACTTGTAAAAATAGGAAGGTTATTAAACAGTTAGATGTTTGGACTCATCTATATATTCGAGGGTTTACACGGAGTTACAAAATTTGGTATCATCATGGGAAAACTGGTTATGAATATGGTAGTACTAGCGAACCTCAGCCTGCGGTTAGGTTAGAAGAACCAATTAGAACGGGCGTAGATTATGGTGTAGGTACTGAGCAGATGGTAAATGATCATTTTAGAGGGGAAGATTTACCCAATACAGAAGCTAGGAGATTTTATGATATGTTGGATGCTAGAAAGCAACCTTTGTACGAAGGTTGCAGAGATGGTCATTCAGCTTTATCATCTGCAACAAGACTGATGAGCATTAAATCCGATTATAATTTGGTTGAAGACTGTGTGGATGCAATTGTTGATTTTGTAAAAGGTATTCAACCTGAGGATAATGTTGCCCCTGGTTCATACTACGAGGTTCAGAAATTGGTAGCTTGTCTTGGTTTATCGTATCAGGTAATAGATGTATGCAGGGATAACTGCAAGATTTATTGGAGGGCGGATGAGCAGCTGGATACATGCAAGTTTTTTGGGAAGGCTCGTTATAAAGATACGAGTGGAAGAGTTCCAGTGCCATATAAAAGGATGTGGTATTTTCCTTTGACAGAAAGGTTGCAGAGGTTGTATCAATCTGAACGCACAGCGCAACCAATGAGATGGCATGCGGAGCATTCAACGGATGGTGAGATTACACATCCTTCAGATGCAAAAGCTTGGAAGCATTTCCAGTCGACCTATCCAGAATTTGCGTATGAGAGAAGAAATGTCTACCTTGGATTATGTACGGACGGTTTCAGCCCATTTGGGAAGCATGGGAGACAGTATTCTCTATGGCCAGTCATTCTCACACCATACAACTTACCGCCAAACTTGTGCTTGCGTCGAGAGTTTTTGTTTCTCTCCATTCTCGTTCCCGGGCCAGAGCATCCTAGGAGATCACTTGATGTGTTTCTACAGCCNGCTGAAACGTACGATGTTTCGTGTAAAGAAAACTTCCAAATGCGGGCAGTACTTATGTGGACAATAAGTGATTTTCCAGCATATGGTATGTTATCTGGATGGACAACGCATGGAAGGCTATCATGTCCATATTGTCAAGATAACACTGATGCTTTCCAACTAAAACATGGAAGGAAAACGTGTTGGTTTGACTGTCACATGAGATTCCTACCACCAGATCATCCATATCGCATGAGTAGGAATTTGTTTACGAAGAACAAGAGGGTGTTTGACAGTCCACCTCCGGAAATCAGTGGGAGAGAAATGTTGACACAACTAAGAGATTTTGGTGCAGAAAGGACCCCAGACATGGGTGGACATGTGCATTATCCGATTGATGCTGTTGGAGATCTACATAACTGGCACAAAAAGAGTATTTTCTGGGATCTGCCATACTGGAAGGATCATCTGCTGAGGCATAATTTAGATATCATGCATATTGAGAAGAACTTTTTCGACAACCTGATGAACACGATCCTTAACGTTCAAGGTAAAACGAAGGATAATTTGAAGTCAAGACTGGATTTAGTCGATATATGTGCTCGTGAAGAACTTCATGTTGATGAGAATGGCAGGGCTCCTTTTCCCATATACCGACTTGATGCAGCGGCCAAAGATGCGTTCTTTGA